GTTTACAGGAGCAGCTTCATCTCAGAAGTGAGACTTCCCTTTTCTGTGGCACTGAGGAAATGGATATGTTTAGAAGTGCAAAGACAAGGAACTAAAGTGGCTGGGGTTTCTCTTCTCAACAGGTCTGTTTGAGGTCCGAGCCCAAGAGTATCTGGAAACTCTCCCCAGTGGAGAGCATAGCGGTGTCAATAAGTTCCTGAAGGGACTAGGTAAGGCCCCGGAGTCTCATCCCCATCACCAGCCTTTGTTCCTGTGAAGTCTGTTGTGGGGTCTTGGCCAGTTCCCTCCCCTGGAGCAGCCATAAATAGTGCAGAGCTCAAGCAGACAGCATTTTAACCTCCTGTTCGTCCCCAGAGTGGAAACAAACCACCCCCACCCCTGCCCCGCTTTAGAGGGCCCCAGGCTGTCTTCTGTCCACCTCCACTGTTCTCTCCTCTGCTCTTCAGTCCTCTGGGGAACTGAGCCCAGGCAGCACGACTAGAACCACAGAAGAGTGTCTGGCAGGAAGCTAGGGAGGGCCTCCCAGTTCCCCTGAGAAGCAGGAACGTAGGAAGTAGGAGGACTGCGGTTTCACCAGTAAAAAGGCCCTTAGTGGAAAAGGGAGGAGGAAGCAGAAGATGGCAGAAAAAGAGGAGGGAGGGAGCAGGCCCCAGTCAGAAAGAGCTGCGGCAGGAGGCCCGTGACCCTGTGCTGCTGAGGGGTGTGTGACAGTCTGTGCTTCCTTTATTGCCATTGCAGAAGCCTCCCTCCTACACAGCTCTGCGGGTCTTCCTTGCAGACCGCGGCAGGAGGCCCGTGACCCTGTGCTGCTGAGGGGTGTGTGACAGTCTGTGCTTCCTTTATCGCCATTGCAGAAGCCTCCCTCCTACACAGCTCTGCGGGTCTTCCTTGCAGACTTCCCACCCACACACACACAAGTCTGAGGAAGATCCCTTGAATTAGGGCAGGGACGTGCCTGAGGAGCCCAGAGGGGACAACCCTGGAAAGGGTGAGCCCCCTCAACTTTTCCAGAGCAAGGGACAGGCTCCTGGGGGGTGGAGTAGGGGGCCGCAGTTGTCCACAGCACACCTGGGTTGAAAAGGGCAAGACTGGACTCAGTCTTCTCTGTCTGCCTGGTGACGTGTTCTCATTTTCATTTTATAGGCAATAAAATGAAGTTTCTTCACAAGAAATAACCTTCAGCTCAGCCTCAAGGGAGAACTTCCTCCTGGTGAGACCACATGTTTTAAAAGCAGTTCCTGGTGGCCTTTCTGAAAGGTGGGGTCCTTGGTTGTCCCGGTGCTGGGATAGAGACGAGGACGGTGTCCAGCCCCACTGGGCTCTCTCGGGACCGGGCCTGAAAGCCACCCGGGAGGCGCCGCTTGTCCAGGACAGCACGGGAAAGGGAGCCCGAGACCAGGCCCATCGCTGATGTGCCAGTGGACTGTTTCAGTGGTTGGTTGTCGGATTTGGGGTTTTTTAATCTTAGACATTAAAAAAAAGAAAAGTGTTTGGGCTTTCTTTTTATTATGCCAGGGCTAAGAAAAATCTATCCTGCTCTACTTCCTCTTACGTTGGTTCATCCTATCCAGCAGTTCGGCTCTGGGACCAAGAGGAGCAGCAACCAGGGAACAGGAACGAGGCGCTCCTCCAGGCAGGACTGGGGACAAATGTCAGAGAGGAGGGGAGGGCAGAGGAGGGAGGGTCGGTAGGCCGTGGCGATGTTGCAGGTTCAGGGTGCCAGTCCTCTTGGCAAAAAGCTTGGCCCTTCCCCTGGAGTGGAGGCCAAGGAAGAGCGGGAGCTCTGTCTACAGGGATGTGGCTTCTGGGATGAGCTGCTCTTCCAGGCTGGTCTGTGACGCCACCTGGTGGCCAAGGCCACAGACTCCTTTTTTCCCAAACGGACGTGCCTCTTGACTGCTTTTTTTCTCTCAGAAGCCTTGTAACCGTCCGCTGCTTGAGCAATCTGTGACTTTTAGAGGTACACACAAAAAGAGGAAATCTCCTCGTAAGATCTGTTGATAAAATGTTCTTGGGGCCCTGAAGTTTATGCTACTGTGGAACCCACCTTACACCGTATAAGCCACCACTTTGATTCCATTCCTGTTTAGACTATATGAAATATTCTCTTCTCATTCTAGGTACTCAGATCAGCATAAATGAAATATGTTTGCAGGATAAACATGAGGACTTTTGTAGTTGATGACGCTGACAAGAGGGAGGGCCGGAATGCTGGAGCAGCTTTGCTAGACTTGTGCGGCCCAGGAGGCAGGTTGCGAGCTCTGGACCATAGCAGGGAGGGCACGGGAGAAGCCACAGTCTGAAAGCTGTCCTGCAAACAGAGGGGACAGGAAGAGCCCTGTGCAGCCCAGGCAAGTTCTCAGAGCCAGCC